GATTGATGTAAGGGTCAGGAAGTGAAGAGGAGGACTGCTCAGTCGTTAGGCCTGGGGAATGCAAACAAAGAGGAGAAGGTATCTTTGGAGAGAGGAGAAAAGGTCTGGTTTTAAGGGGAAACATAATGTTTTGTGATTAAAAGAAATACAGAACAACTGAGTAGAATGTCCTACAGGGCAGCAGGTTGGGAGACAAAGAGAAAGGTCTGGGTTAGGAGTGAAAACAATGAAAATATCTGGAAAATTGTTTGAGAGAAGAGCAAACAATATGAAACTCTGGGTTAGAGTTAAAACAACGAAAATATCTGGAAAATTGGAGGAAGAGCAAATAAAAAAAAAAAAGAAAAGAAAATCAAGCTGCAGTGGAGGAAAGCCAAAAGTCATGTCCTGGGAAGTGACAGTGTGTAGAAGGAGAGAGTATGGGCTACAGAACTAAATTGAGCAGTTTAAAAAGGTAAAAATTAGGAAATAGACAGCAGGGGGCAGGAGGATAGAGAGAATGGGTGGAAGAGAGTAATCTTGGAAATAGAACACTGGGCATACTTGTACAATAAGGAGTAGAACATTGGGTATTCCGGTACCAACGCACATCAACACTATAACTGAATCTCTCACTTTACCTTGGGTGAAGCCAGTAAATGTCAAGTATCCACATGTAGCAAAGAATATACAGATAAATACAGAAATCACGATGGACATATGGATAAGGCGGGACCACTTAGCTACTGTGGGTTCTTCTAAAGAACTGTAAACTAAGAAGGAGTTATGGTGGCAAATAAATGCTGCAATACAGAAAAAAAAAAAAAAAGCATTATTAAAGCAAGCATCAGGGTTTTCTTTTTTAGTTCTGAAATTCAGAGACATGTACTACTTTAGATGCCAATGAACTGCAGTTTAAATATACAAATTTATTAATATGTCAGCAAATAATTTTTCTAATAGTTCTAGAAATGAGACCATTCACTTCAGGTTTACATGGTCTTTTCACGTCACTCTTGATATAAACCAGGCCAGTCCAACCTTCTCTCCCATTTTCCTTTTCCTAATGACCCTTCCCATCTTAAGGAAAATCTAAATACCATCATTTTCATTCTGTGGCTTCCTTTGCCATTTGGGACATAATAAAGGGTTTGAAGAAGTCCATAACACTTGCTAGCTTTCCAAGTTAAGAAACAAGATGACTGTAATGAGTTTTCTGCATGAGAAATAGATTTCTTCAAATTGAAGCAAATTTTAGTGATGAGTGAGAAAAGTTTGAGCCTAATTTTATATTGGCACAAACTAGATCATATGCTGCTAATAGGAAGTCTAAAACTTAGGACATCTGCTATCCAGACATAAATATGAAACATAGCACTTTTTTCATGGAACATAGAACTCCACATTGAGAAAGGGCCTTTGAAACCAAATACTCACCAAAAGACATAACCCCGACCGCTTGAATGGCATTGGGCTTTGCAAATACCCAAGCATCTTCTGTTTTTGGTCTAGAAGAAAAATCAGTTAACTTGATAAATTATTAAATAAATTCAAGCATCAGTATATCAGATAACAAGAAATAGTATCACAAATATAAACTGAGTGTCTTTAAGCCAGAAATTAATAAGGGGCTCCCATTAATCTTGTGTCACCATGAATACATTTCCCAGGAGCATGAGTGTTATCTCTTAACCCCAGTCCTCTAAAATGTATCTCAAATACTTGGACGGATTCTATTTTTACATATGTAAAATATCCAGACTCTGTAATCTTGTGAATTTATTTGCTCATCAATTTAACAGAAAGCACTGATTATACACCCACCAGTGAAGCTACTTTTTGAGGGAGATACAAAAATTAATAATGCCCAGTTACTGCTGTTCATTCTGCTCTTATTTTTTTCAGGCTTAACCTATCCAAGAAAAATTTAGTTGGCACTAAAATTTATTGAGGGAGGTAAACATGAACTAATACTAATTGAGGATGTACTATCTTCTAGAAACTCTACTGTGTTATCTCATTTAATTTTCACAATAACACTTAAGAATTATTATCACCATTTAACACATGAAGAAAATCAAGCTCTGGATGGTGATATAATTTGCCAAGCTTCCACAAATAATGAGTGAAGAAGCTGAGATTTATCTTCTTGGTTTATTCATTGCCATATTTTTTCCAGGCTGTACCATCTGACAGTGGCCTCAAATTCCCACCTGTAGATATATTTCTCAAGGGTATTTTGGAAATATATGCACTTTAAACAGCTTGAAACAGGCTACATCCTAGTGGAATTAAAATATTTGATATTGGCAGTGATAGGTGTACCTGGCTAACACACCCTGAGTAATGATGAACAGCAGAGGCTCTAAGGTCATTAGCCTAAATTGTTCTTCTGGCCTCCTTCCACTTATTAGCTGTGTGATTTTAGGCAAGTTACGTGACTTCTCTGTGCTTCAATTTCAACATCTATAAATTGAGGATAATTGTAGTATCTAACTCATTAAGTCACTGTGTAGATTAAATGAGATAAAATATGTAAAACTTCTGGAAGAGAGTTTATCACATAGCACGTGTTCAATCAACAGTCATTAGTATTAATATTATTATCCAGCATTATTAATAAAGGTAGCAAAAAGTCTAAAAGTATGGTCAACTTCCTTGGGAAGGGAAGGCTCGAGTGAGACTCAGAACAATGCATGAAGAATGGAACAGGGAGATTCCTAGGAAGCATGAAAAGGCACTGGGTGTTTTCAGTAAAAAACAGGAATTCATTCTAAAGATGAAGACCCATCTATTTCATAAGTTTGTTTATTCATTCTCTGTGTAAAGAAGGTACACACAAAAAAATCATGTTTGTTGTCCACACCTTGTGGGGTTTATGCATTATGTTATCTTTTTTCCCATATATGAAACAAGCAGTTACAGACACAAAGAAACTTTACAGAAAGGCTGGCCTGTAAGGGTAGGCCACGGATTGTTATAAGACTTGCTCCAAGTCCCAGTTTTGGGAGTGGGAACTACTGCCACCTGCTGCCTCCACTACTCTAAATGCAGTCGACATTAAAAGCAGCATAACCTGTTAAATTCCAAAGTTAATATGAAAAAAATACATATTTTGTACATGATCCTTAGAAAATGATTTAGATCAGGCAGCTCTAACAGTTGTAGAAACTTGAGGATTCTCTAACTTTACAATATGTTTTAAATGGTATGCTTTCCCTCTTATGGTTTTTGCACTTGGAAAATATTCCCTCTTACTCCCCAACCCCAGTACAGATTGTGGTGGTGTCCTACTTTTTAAATCTTATATTAGTAATAAAATGTAGAAGTTTAGTTTTCATTTTTTCTCTTCCATTTAAATTTTTTCCTTAGGTCCATATGGTTCCTTGGGTATATTCCCGGAGTGTGAAACAATACCTAGAGATAATTTTGGATTTTCTCTGTTCATCATAATGATGATGATTTTATAAGATGGAAAGTGCCAAAAAAGATGTTACAGATAGGAAAATGCATATGTCTAAATCTAGGGAAAGAGAAGGAAACAGATATTGAGTATGGCTTTCCAATCATTTATAAAATAGCCTACAATTGAGTTCCAGATACAACCAGTTGTACAGGAAAAAAAAAGAGAGAGAACAAAGTTCTTGGGTATATTTTATGAGATTGCTGAAACTTTGAAACTCAACCTGGATGAAAACATAAAGTTATAGACCTTTTGACTTTAAACTGTAAATGTTGAAATATGAAATAAAATGTTTTCAAATGCCATCAAGCAATTTATAAGATAAGGAATTATGACTGAATTTTTTTCAACAAATGCAAAGGGAGTTTAATAACAAAATATTATAATCAATATTTATTAATAGCTGTTATATTAATAGATATTAGTGTAATTTACCACATTAACAGATGAAGGAAAGAAGCTTATGACCATTTCAAAATATATAGAAAAGCATACAGCTCAGTATTTATTTTGAAAAACATGCTGAGCAAACTAATAATAAAATAGAACTTGCTTTACTGGATAAGGAATGTCCACCAAATCCTACAGCAAATGACATACTTAAAAGTGAAAAGTTAGAAATATTCTACTTAAGGGATGAAATCAGATAGGATATTCAATATCACTGCATTCAGAATATATTATTGATATTCCTAGCTAATTCAATAAAATAAGTGATGTGTAATCATTGAAAAGATTGTGTAAATTATTTGTGCACAATATAATTATGCATATGGAAAATAAGCATATTCAGCAAGGTTACTGGATACAAGTTCAATACACACAAAACATCAAGTGGGTGGATGTACACTAACAACAACCAAATAAAATGTTTTTTTAAGTGTCAGTGACAACAAAAACACTAAATACTTTAAAAGATGTGCATGATGTTAATGTCATGTTAAACTTTTATTTAAAGACACAAATAAATGGAGAAATACACCATATCCATACATACAAATGGGAAGACTCAATATCATATAAACATCAATTTACCCCAATTAATTTTTAAATTCAAATATAATAAAATACAGAAAAAAATAAATCAAAGAATAAAATACAATATTGAGGCTGGGCATGATGGTTCACGCCTGAAATCCCTGCACTTTGGGAGGCCGAGGCAGAAGGATTGCTTTGAGTTCAAGACTGGCCTGGGCAACACAGGGAGATCCAGGCTCTACAAAAAATTAAAACATTAGCCAGGCATGATGGTGTGTGCCTATACACCCAACTACTTGAGAAGCTGTGATGGGAGAATCACTTGAGCTTGGAAGGTTGAGGCTGCAGTGAGCCATGATCACCCCACTGCAGTCTAGCTTGGTCAATAGAGTAAGACCCTGCCTCAAAATAAATAAAATAAAATAAATAAAATATTGAAGGAGGGAAAGAAATTTAAAACTCAAAAAAACCCATAATATTAAAAATTATAATAAAGTTAAAGATAATAAAATCAATGGAAGGTAAATATAAAACATCCATATGATAAAATTATTTATATACACATTTAAAAATATACAGGTAAGCTAAAAGCTGGAAGATGACATTGGTCATGCATACACAGTTGTCCCTTGGTACATGGGAGGGATTGTTTCCAGGACCCTCCAATGGATATCAAAAGCCATGGATGCTCAAGTCCCTGATATAAAATGGTTTAATACTTGCATATAACCTAAGTACATCCTTCCATATAATTTAAATTATCTCTAGATTGCTTACAATATCCAATACAGTGTAAATTCTATGTAAATAGTTGTCATACTGTATTTTAAAATTTGTATCATTGTTATTGTCATATTGTTATTTTTAATTTTTTTCCAATATTTTGTCCACAGTTGGTTGTGTCTGCACATGCAGAAGCTGTGAATACAGAGGGCTGTGATCAAGAAATACTATACAGTGTATACACAGTACACCCCTCTTATCTATAGGGTATATGTTCCAAGATATAACTTTGTAAGGTATCCTATTTACAGCCTAGCAAATGCCCCCTGCCCAAATGAAATAACTTCCCTAGGCCAGGTGTGGTGGCTCACATCCATAATCCCAGCACTTTGGGAGACCGAGGGAGGTGGGTCACAAGGTCAGGAGTTTGAGATCAGCCTGACCAACATGGTGAAATCCCGTCTCTACTAAAAACACAAAAATTAGCTGGGCGTGGTGGTGTGTACCTGTAATCCCAGCTACTCAGGAGACTGAGGCAGGAAAATCGCTTGAACCTGGGAGGTGGAGGTTGCAGTAAGCAGAAACTGTGCCCCACTGCACTCCACTCCAGCCTGGGTGACAGAGCGAGACTCCGTCTAAAAAGAAAGAAAGGAAGGAAGGAAGGAAGGAAGGAAGGAAAGATGGAACTTCCCTAAGGCAGAAAATGTATTTTAAATAAAATGTTTGAATTTTAATTAAACCCCCATGCAAATTAATAATCAAAAGTTAAACTTGGACACCCAATTAAACATGTGTAGATGGGCCACATAAGTTTATCTTTTCTCTTTTCTGAGACCCCACTAAAATGCTACTAAAGAAATTTAAAAGAGGAATAAATTCATGAGGGAAAGGATAGTGGAAGAAGAGACATCTGAGGAGAAGACACTCTGTGAAAAGGAAACTGGATACTTCTGTGGTGACTATTGAGAGCAGAAGATGTTGCAGCCGTGTAGAGGGAGCTCATGATGAGAAAGAGGTGATTCACTTTACAAAACCCCTGTATGTGCAGGACTCAGAGATACCAGAAAGCGACCGAGAATGCTCCAACAAAAGGAGAAAGGAAAGAAAATGGAAGAGCTGGGATCATGGATAGAGGGTATATAACACAAAAAGGAGGTAAAAGGAAGTCCTAGGAGGATCATGGGGGAGCAAAGTGAGAAAGCAATCTGCCTAGAATGGAGGGCAGAACAGAAGGCTCTGGGATGGAGGTTTTCAGGAAAAATAATAAAATTAATAGATTATATGTTTTGGCATCTGGAAAAGAAGTAACAAAAATGACCAAATTTAAAAGCTAAACTGAATATC